TCACGGCTATTCTCATTTGATCATCCACCGAGTCTGAAATGTAGACAGCTCGCACGTACAAAGCATCCAGCGACAACAATTCCTGCTCAATTTCTTTGAGCAGCTCGATATTCCGATCCTGTGACTTTGGCGCGTGAAAATCGAATCTTCTCAAACCCTTTGAATGCTTATGCTTGAATGCGGAGGCAAGAATCTTGCAAGCTCCTCCACCGGGTGACAAGTCGATAAATACTTGAGTCTAGAAAAAGGATGAGCAACGAATGTGAAATCAGATAATTTCATCAGATACAACTTCTAAAACTAAATTGAAAGCCAACAAATTATGAACCCGAAAAAAGGAATCTAGAATTTAAAAAAATCGTACAGCAATTTATGGCAGCACAAAGATATGTAAACATGAAAATACGGCGATGGAGTTGGGAACACGAAATTGGCTCACAATATTTTTTTTTTTTTAACAACCGATAGTTTCTGAAAGTCGTTCTTCTCACCAACACATTTTCACGAAGAAGCTGAAAACTGGTGATACTGTAGCAGCTAAATTCACGAACACCACATTTCAGTAAATTAAGTTGAACCTCAACAACTCGAAACTTCCTCAACAGAAATTATTTTCCTAGTTCCTCGAAGTTCCCCTTAAACAGGTTCAACTGTAATAGTCAAACAGCATTTTTGGCCGCACTCTTCGAGAAAATCTTCAAAAATAACTCGGACCTCAGATTAAAAAATAATCTAGCAACCGTCGTAGCATTTTAACTGTATAACTTTGAGTACTTTCCCATGGAACTGGTTCACACATCAAATTCTTTTTCATGTTTCATTGGTCAAAATGGAATGCAATATGTTGAGGGCAGAAAAGAATGATAAAAAGGGGTGGTCTTGTTTTTTTTTCCGAATTTTAACAAACGGATTGTCTGTAATTCGCAAGACTTGGAGAAACCACAACCACGACATTTTTATTGCAATAAGCCATCGAAAAGGTCTCACGGGAATTCGAGTCATTCCAAATTTCCCAGTAGCTCCAGCACCGAGACAAGCCTCCTGAAAATTCATCATCTGACTCAGGATCTGCGCCAAAGCCCTCGGACTGCTGTGTTCCGACAGGATAAGCTTTAAACAACAAGAACGCACAAAAACAAATGAGAAAAATTATGAAAATATAATACATTTCAAAATGCTTTCGAGACACAATCGAACCTCGGCGTGATGTTGCATCAGCCATTTCCTCACGACATTGAACTCGTTCAACACGAACGTAGCTTCCCAGAACTTCGGGTTTGCACCCCCGTCTTTGGCCGGGCCTAAGGCCATTTATATTTCCACTCAATCACAACGTTATTTTAAAAACCTGAAGAGGAAGAAAACGAAGTTTCACAGCAGTCATCACCAGAATGAAATGAACGGATCAAACACACATAATCGATGAACAACCAACTCGAACTTTAGTTCAAAATTAATCACAAATGTCCGCGAAAAAAGTGCATCGAATTACTTGCGGCAGTTCAACGTGAGCTCAAGTATTAATTTTCACAGATTCTTTTTGCGACACAATCACGCGGGACATGTAAAAAATGCGAAACACAGTTCAGCAAAAAAAAAAAAGCATTCGTTCTCAGCGAAAAACCTTGATCTGAGTTTCGCCAACATAGCAGCGAAAAAAACTGTGCGCCGAAAGGGGGAATGTACTAAAATGAAGAAAAGATGAAAATTTTCAAAAGGACAGCAGGATTCCTTCGTCCAATGAAGCTTTCAATCCTTCAGCAACGGCGCAATCAAGCATCAACTGGACCGTTTCTTGACCATGACCGGGATCGGTACGTTCAGCAACTCACAAACTCTATCCCTTTTGCCCCTCACTTCTTCGTCGTCCTGCAAATTCCACACAGTGTCGACCAAAACCGAGACCAGCTCCTCCATTTTGTCAGTGAAAACGGAGTCCTCCGCCATCACGACGGTTTCGTAGAACAAGTCCGCCGTTGCTTTCCTCACGCGAGGGATTCGATGTCCCAGATAACGCACTATACTGTCCAATGCCTTTCGCTTCACTTCTTCGTCGCGGAAAAGTGACAAGCAACACCACAGTTCGACCCCGGCAACGATTTTCGGGACGGGAACAATTTTCTTCCCCGTTAGAGAGGATTTTAAAGCTGCGCACAAACGGATTCCATAAGGACACTTGGCTTGCGAGACGATTGA